GAGAGAGAGAGAGAGAGAGAGAGAGAGAGGCTTCGGCGGGGTTGTAGGGGGAACGCTACACATTCCACGAAGTGAGTCTGACATGTGCCGCGTCATTTTGTTTTGTGTTATGTCTTCCAAGGAATGGTGCAAGGTACACACGGCACGTTATGTCTTCCAAGGAATGGTGCAAGGTACACACGGCACGCCCAGCATTACGGTTCTCATCAAAAAGCTTCTTCAGATGCATGATCGAATTTTCGGTATCGGACAGCAAATGCCAAGCAGATTGGATCTCGAATGTCGAATGCTCCACCCACATATTACAAGACGTGCGCAATGGCTATGACACTCTCATAATTGAACGCGACTTCCCTTAATCGGCCCTTGCCCCACCGAACTGAGACTTACAGGCTCACACAGACACACAGACACACACACACACACACACACACACACACACACACACACACAGAGAAGGGGGGTCGTTTGGAGTGGCTTGCTTTTATCGTCAAACCCGGAAAAAGAGAAACCAAATTGTAAAGAGAACACCGGAAAATGCGAAGAAAAGCGTATTTTCTGACGTCTGAAAGAGAATACTTCTTATGCACCATGTGCTGAAAAGGTAACAGATGTGAAAGGATCTCGGACAGAACAGGGCAGTTGCTAACCATCTGCACTCAGGCCACCACAACCCTTATGCTCTGTGCTCGCAAATTCCCATATTTCTGTGCGGGCGGAGCTGCAACAGGTAAGCTAGTATATACTTAGTATTATTCCTGAACCTTAAGTACGGATGTAATTGCACATAGACCGTAATTGCACATAGACCGGTCGTGTAATCAGTCAGTAGCCAGTATCGGCGTGATCGGTGCGATAAATTTCGTTGTTCCCTCGCTGAACTTCGTGTTGGTCGAGGGGGTAGAGATAGAAGGGTGGTCATCAAGCCAAGGGAACAGCAGACTGGACGAGGAAGAAGACCATCTTCATATTTCCCGTTCCCTCCGTATTTTGGCGCTTGCAAGGACGCGGCCTATCCCCAACAAGAGATAGATTGTGAGTGTGTGGCTAAATTTGCTGATCGCAACGGTTCTATAGGATGTAGCACTCACACACACACACACACACACACACACACACACACACACACATACACACACACAGAGAGAGAGAGAGAGAGAGAGAGAGAGAGAGAGAGAGAGAGAGAGAGAGAGAGAGAGTAGTTTGGTTTGGCTATTTGGTCAGTCGGTGATTGATTTGGGTGGCTTTTTAAGAACAAATTGAAACCTTGTTGAAGGGGGGGGGGGTTGTTGAGGGGTCGAATTTGAAGGAGTCAGTTCAATGCAAGTTGAATTGCGTGCAGATGTCTGTCTCGTGATCATTTCGTCTTTTTGCGCTCTGCGAAGACCAGAGATTCTGTAGGGAGGGGTGAACGTAAAGTGAAGTGCGACATCATCTAACCGTATTTTTTTAGAGCTATTTCTACCTGCGGAGGTGTTGAAGTGGAGAAGTGGACATCCTTGCGCACTTCCTCCTTGGTGAACTCTCCAAGGTCGGTGTGTTTTGTGTGTGTGTGTGTGTGTAGGGGGTGGGGGTGGGGGGGTGACTGAGAGAGAGAGAGAGAGAGAGAGAGAGAGAGAGAGAGAGAGAGAGAGAGAGAGAGAGAGAGAGAGCCCCAGGTCGTGGAAACAGGGACTGGCAAAAAAATTCTCGGTTTTTACATTACCAATTTGTGGGTGGAGAGATCTGCCGGTAATCATGTCTTTACAGATGTGTATCGATTTTTGACTTGTCCATGAACCCTTCTTTTCATACTTGAGTGGAGGTGGCAGCAAGATTGCGCCTTGCCTCATCTGCGTGGTGGTAGCGTTGGCGGTCGTTTAATGCCATCTTCGATCTGCGGGGTAGTGACGACCAAGATCTGATTTAGAAGAGGTAGAGACGGATTGAGCTTTATTGAGGTTTTGAACAGGGCTTTTTTTTCTTGTTTTTTTTCGTTTTTGCGCTCTGACATCTTTGTGACAATATTATATATCTTGTTGTCAGTTCATCCATTGTCTACGTGGAACCCGTTCTAACTGATTGCCTGGTTGATTCGCTTAAGGCCGATTGGTTTATATCGGGTTGCAAGTGATTGATTTATATGCTGTGGGTTCGTCGAAGTGATATATATATATATTTATTGTGACGATATATATATATAATATATCGTCACATGAATATATATAAACTTATATATTATATATATATATAATATTATATATATTATATAGATATATAATATATAATATATATTTATAAGTCGGTGAAACTCCGACGAAACAGTTTGTCACAGCCCCTCGTTTGTTGTCCTCTTCTCCCTCTCTGCCTACGGTTTACCGGGCAGTTCTATTCGACGATATATATATTTGTGACGATATATATATATATATATTCAGCCTCCTGATGAGTCGGTGAAACTCCGACGAAACAGTTTGTCACAGCCCCTCGTTTGTTGTCCTCTTCTCCCTCTCTGCCTACGGTTTACCGGGCAGTTCTATTTGACGATATATACGATATATAATCTCCTGATGAGTCGGTGAAACTCCGACGAAACAGTTTGCCACAGCCCCTCGTTTGTTGTCCTCTTCTCTCTCTCTGCCTACGGTTTACCGGGCAGTTCTGTTTGTGACGATATATAAAAGATCGAATGCGAACTTAGAGAGGAACGCATTGTGGACTGGCGGGTTGGTGTACTGAACACTTGCACGCTTTTTTGCCGTGTCGATTGGCCGCACATACACACACACACACACACAGAGAGAGAGAGAGAGAGAGAGAGAGAGAGAGAGAGAGAGAGAGAGAGAGAGAGAGAGAGAGGTAGTACACAGAACACAAGACAAAGCTTCTGCAAGTGTCTGCTTCGATATAGATCGATGGAGTGAATCTTGATTGGTGAAGGTGCGCTTTAGATAGGCAATTCATCCATTGATCTAACGTCGTCGGTCTCCTTGGTATACATCCGGTTGCATGTTCCTTCTCCTTTATGAATAACGTAGATGGATTAATAAAGTGCATACTGCTTTGAGAACAGATGTACGGCCGAATTGGTAGGTCTGCGTTCTCATTGGAAGTACACTCGTGCGTCTTGGATTAATTACGAATTGGTTTGATTGATTATTCGACTGATGGATGGATCAATTGATCGGTTAAGTTGTTGACTAGCACACTCACCGGGGGCTTTGATTGATTGATCGACTGGTCGATGGATCAATTGATCGGTCAAGTTGTTGGCTAGGACACTCACCGGGGTAGATCGCGGCGTCATTTGGGTTTTGCGATTTGTTTATCAATATGTCTCTCGGTCGGTTATAACTACAACATACATATTTCCGTCGTCGAAGTCCCCAGCTTTATTTTTCTGCCCAGGCCGTTGTTGTTTCTTTGTCCTCAAGACGCAAGGGGAGAGGAGGGGGATATGCTTCCTTTGTTGGACGGCTTGCCCTGTTGTCAGGCATAGTAGTAAGCAAGCTGTTATTGATCGCGAGTGATCTGTGATCGTGTGTGAAATTCGACGGTAAAATGAAGGCATAGTTATCGTCCTCACCTCCCTCTGTGAGAGAGAGAGAGAGAGAGAGAGAGAGAGAGAGAGAGAGATGCCTTGCTCCACGACAGGATCGTCTGATGCGGGGTTGGTGGGGAGGAAGGAATTCCCGAACGGGGATACGTACACGGGGAGGCTGAGTTGTGGTCTTCCCAACGGGAGGGGAACGTACAGGTGGGCCGATGGGAGCCTGTACGATGGGGAATGGGCAAATGGGGAGAGGCAGGGGAAGGGTACGTTCACTTGGCCTTCTGGGGCCGCATACGACGGCGAATGGTATCGTGGCAAGATGCACGGAATGGGCGAGTACAAGGGCGTGGACGGGACGTGGTACAAAGGGGGTTGGAACGTCGGGAAGAAGTGCGGTCTGGGCACCAAAGTGTTCGCCAACAAGGATGTCTATGGCGGTCTGTGGAAGGAGGGCATCAAGGAGGGGCTGGGTCGGTACACGTGGGCGGATGGAAGCGAGTACGTCGGTGAGTGGCGAGGGGGCCTGATGTCGGGTCGAGGCACTCTCGTGTGGGCGAATGGCGACAGGTACGATGGCCAGTGGTTGGAGGGCGTGGAGCACGGGAAAGGGCTCTTCACGTGGGCCAACGGCGCGTGCTACGAGGGTGTCTGGAAAAGGGGCCTGAAAGACGGCAAAGGCTTGTTCTACCCCCCCGGATGCGTCAAAGCTCTGCGTTGTGATCGCCACGGAGAGATCGTCAAAGAATTCGCCGATGGTGGGGAGGAGTGGCGGGGACCAGGCGGGTACGAGAACGATGGAGAAGAGGAGAGTGGCTCCATCGCGAATCGCAGGGTGGTCGGGGACTCTGGAGGAGTCGGGGGAGAGGGATACGAAGGAGGAGGTCGATCGGCGGGAGCGAGAAAAGGCGGAGGGGGAGGCGCAGAGAAAGCCCGTGCGGGTGCCGCGGGCGGCGGAAAACAGAAGCGCCCGTATCGGATGTCTAGTATCAGTCGGTCGATGAGTCACAGTGGGCCGCTTACGGAGAGAGAAAGGATGATGATTGTGCTGAATGCGAGGGAGGTGGGTGGGGTGCTCGGCGGTGTGAAGCTTCCGAAGCGCCATCCTCGAACGAAGGCCGGGAGGCCGAAGGTGCGACCGAAGCTGGAGAGACAATGGAGCGGCCCACTTCTGTGTGGGCGGGACTGGAAGGACGACGACGAGGGGAGAGAGACGTTTCTTAAGAAAGGGGAGAGGGAGGAGGACATCGATCTCCGAAGGAAGTGGGTGGCCCGACGCCCACGGAAGAAGAAGGTTCCCATCTTTCAGCCACCTCCGCTGGCTCCTCTGCCGCCGCTTCCGTCATCGGTATCATCAGCGGCCAAGTCCGCTGGCGATTCGGCGGGAGAGAGTGGCGCTGCCGCTGGTAGAAGGGAGGGCGGTCGCGAGGGGACCCAGGGGGTAGGAGGAGGAGGAGGAGGAGGAGGAGGAGGAGCCCCTCAGAAGAAGGGTCACGCTGCTGGTTACAGCGGCGACAAGAAGGGGAGCTTTTTCGACATCGATCTGCACGAAGTGCGGACATCGACCGCCGGGGCCGCGGAGGGCAGTGGAAGCGGTGGGGGCGGCGGAGCCGGCGGAGGAGAAGGCGAGCCGCGCCGGCATCGCTTCACCAGAAGCGCAACGGATTCTGAGCTTGTGTTTGGAGGAGCAGGCAGAAGCCGAGGAGCTGGAGGTGATGATTATGGAGACGAGGCTCCTGCTGACGGACGGCGGCGTGATGGTTGCGGGTATGAAGAGGAGGAGGAGGAGGAAGAGGAGTCGACCAGCGGTCGGCAGCACCGTCCTCGCCGGCAAAAGCGCGCGGGAGGCGGGGTAACCGGGGCAATTCACGGGGCGGAGAGAGCAATAGCCGGAGCGATACAGGGTGCAACTTCTGTGGTCTCGGGGGCTTTCCACGGGGCGACCATGGCGTGCTCCGGAGGCGGATTCGCGCATATGGCAACCCTGTCCGCGGAAGCGTCGCTGCTTTCGGGAGCGAGCGATGGGGAGGGGAAAGAGCCCGCGGGAGAGTTCGCTGGCGGCGGGGGCGGCGGGCACAAGAAGCAGCGCTCGCGCCGCCACAAGGTCTTGATGAGGGAGTACGTGGACGGGGCGTTGGTGAAGGAGACGGTGAAAGAGGTGGTAGTCGCGACGAAGAAGAAGAAGGGGGAGAGAATAAATGAGAGAGTGAGGCACAAGTTCGAGCGCAAGAAGCAGGGGGAATACATCATGAAAACGCACCGAAGTTACTTTCTGATGCTCAATCTGCAGCTGGGGATCCGATACACCGTGGGCAAAGTCAGCAACATGCCTCATCGAGAGATTTGCCCCGAGCAAGATTTCGGTCCCAAAGCGGTTATTTGCCAGCGTTTCCCTAAGGCCGGAAGTCGCAATACGCCTCCTCATCACTCTCCCGAGTTCTCCTGGAAGGATTATTGCCCCTTTGCGTTCCGAAGACTGCGGGAAATGTTTGGCATCGATGCGGGCGAGTACATGATGTCGATCTGCGGGAACGATGCACTGCGGCAACTGGCCTCTCCCGGGAAGAGCGGCAGTGTGTTCTTCCTGTCCAACGACGACAAGTTCATCATCAAGACCATGAAGAAGTCCGAGATGACCGTGCTATTGAGCATGCTCGAACGGTACTATCGGCACGTGGAGCGCTACGAGAACACGCTGTTGACCAAGTTCTTCGGATTGCACAGGGTGAGGCCCTTTGGCGGGAAGAGCGTGCGGTTTGTGGTGATGGGGAACCTGTTCTGCACGGATCTGTCCATCCATAGAAGGTACGATCTGAAAGGGTCGACGCTAGGCAGGTCGACGGACAAAAGTAAGATCGATGTGAACACGACGCTCAAGGACCTGGATTTGGAGATGGTGTTCAAGCTGGAAGAGGGCTTGAGAGAGAGGCTGGTCCGGCAACTGGAGGCTGATTGTCAGTTCTTGGAGGAACAGCGAATCATGGACTATAGCCTGCTCTTGGGGTTGCATTATAGGTCAAGCAAAGTGCAAGAAGGTGCGGGCCAAGAAGGAGGAGGAGGAGGAGGAGGAGGAGGAGGAGGAGGAGGGGACCTGAGGAGTCCATCGCCGGGCTCCGGACTGCCGCCAAGGCCGAGGAAGAAAACAGGCGGTTTAGCCGACGAGGAGAATGGGGAGGTGGGAGGAGGAGTAGGACGGCAAAAGTCCATAGGAAACCATTGGGGAGTGGAAGATGGCGGGCCAAACACTCCCACGCCGGGAGGTACGGAGGCGGAGATGGACTACGAGGATTTGTCGATCCTGATGTCGGGACCGTTGGTCGTGCTGCAGCCATCGACAGCGACGCCCAAGGCGGGAACGGGTGCAGGTCGGGACGTGAGGAAGAGCTGGGGAGGGCCGCATGCGGGAGGAACTGGAGGAGTGGGAGGTAGTGTTGGAGAGGGGCGAGGAGGGAACTGGAACATGCTTAGTCCAGCTGTCATTTCGCGCGCACCGAAGCGGACCGACACCCTGCGTCCGATGCTCGGATCAGACTGCGGAACGGACGCGCTGGCCTTCCATTTCGGAAGGTCGGTACAGCTAGGAGTGAATATGGCCGCGACGGCCATCTCCGTCGAGGTGGGAACCCTGAAGGAGACGGAGCCAAAGCAAGTGAAGGACGTCGTGCTGTACTTTGGGATCATCGACATCCTGCAAGAGTACGACATCCGGAAGTGGGCCGAGAACGCCATCAAGTCCGTACAGTACGATGGGGCGGCCATCTCCGCGGTCGATCCCGCCCTTTACGCACACAGATTCAAGGAATTCATGTTCAGAGCGTTCGCCTGAACAATCAACCAAGGTACTCAAACCACACACATGTAGGAATCTGTTGTAGATGATGAAGAGAGACTTGTCTACGTGTGTTGTGTATTCGTCAAGCGCAACTCCAGAAAAAAATGGGTGACTGTGACAACAACAGACTGTTTCGTCGGGCTTTCACCGATTCATCAGGAGGTTGAACCTGGCAGTCCGCCGCGTGTCTGCTTTTGCGCGTGTCAAATACACACACACACACACACACACACACACACAGAGAGAGAGAGAGAGAGAGAGAGAGAGAGAGAGAGAGAGAGAGAGAGAGAATCGGATTCTTTGTCGGCAGATTGAGGAGGGAGGTTTGAGGGGGGAAGTCTGGGGGGCAAGTTTTGGTTATTTTTGGGGGGGGAGGATTTTGCATGTTGATTGATCGGTGATCGGCAATGTAAAAAGTAGAGACTTTGTGGGGAGTTTTGAAGGAATCCGTGGGAGGGAGGGAGAGGAGAGAAAAAAGAAGGAAAAGGTGCCGAGGAGGTACTTGAATATATGAGGATGTATAGCCATTCCGTTGTTCGAGAGAGAAGGGAAGGGAGGAGGGAGGGGAGAAGAAGATGTAACCGTCAAGGAGCCTTTTTTTTATTATTATTTTATTATGCAGAAGTTTACCAAGTTTGTTCATTTGCGCCTTATGGGGTTTCGTTTCAGTCCTCCAGCTGTTAGGAGGAAAAATCAGGAGATCAGAGAGGTTAGGGTAGGTTTGGTGGACTCGTGTGTGCTGCTGCATCAAGGCCGTTGGATGGTTACGTACATGAAAATCTGCGCACATCTTTAGTCGATCCGACTGGTCAATACACATCTTTCGTCGATCAGACTGGGTTTAAGGAAAGCAACAGTGATGTGTTCTGATTGGAGAAGCTCATTGAAGCTTGATGATCTCTTGTCCTTTACGATGCGACTGTTTTTTTTTTTTTTTTTTTTTTTTTTACGGCCTGTTGTGAATTGGTGCCCCACTCCATTGGTTAGACGATGGCTGCATTGGTCAATACAGTTGTGGTGAGGTAGGTAACTTGAGGAAATCAATGGCGGTGGTTTGTTCGGATTGGATTGGAGAAGCTCATTGAGGCTTTTGATTCCTTGTCCTTTAAGGTGCGAGACTGAGATTTCGCGGCCTGTTGTGTGTATTGGCAGCCCACGACATTGTGTGTTAGACGATGGCTGCATTGGTTTGGTTAGGCGATGATGGCGATGATGGCGATGATGGATGGCATTTCAACGGGGAGAAAGTGTGTGTTGTTCAACTCGCGGCTGTGACCGTCACGGGGGGTACCCAATGGGAAATTTAAGCTAAGCGATGACGTGAGGGATGCAGCAGTTATATTGGTTGATGGCGGATTGTTAATTGCTGGATGGATGATCAGAGATCCAAACATATTTTGTAATCACGACGAAGTGATTTTGTAATTATTACGGAGTGAAGAATATTGAATTTCCAAGGATTTCTCTTGAAGCGCTTGCATCTCTCTGTGTTTTTTTGTGCCCCCTTTTCCCCAAATGCCTGGTTTTTTTATGGGATGCCGCTGAACGTTCGTCTTTTCTGTGGGGTGATTATGTATGATGGATGGATGGGTGGGTGCTCAATGATGCAGACATGTATTTTACTATTTTGTAATTGCTACAGAGTGATTTTGTTAGAATTATGGAGTGAAGAAAGAGCATTGAACTTTCCAAGGATTCGAATTTCGAAGCATTCGCAAATCTGTTTGTGCCCCTTTTTCCCCAAAAATGGCTTGGATTTATTTTTGATGCTGCTAAATATCCTCCTTTCCTCGGGTTGCTCCACTGCCTCCATAATTGCTTTTTTTTTTTTTTTTTTTTTTTTGAAAAAAACAGACCCACCAGTGCTAGCAATTCTGTTTAGCGCAGACATTGCTAGCACCTGGGTGTCCAACAGAATGAACACTGATGACTTTCGGGTCCTGGGCCAGACCATGCCTCTGGGCTTCAGAATGTGTGAAGTATCCTTGCTAGAGGCATCGGAGCGGATAAGGAGGGGGGGGGGGGGGGGGTGGTGTTCAGAACAGGGTCAACTTTTCTCTCAGCACCCCTAGATACTCCTTTGCGACACTATCATTCTATCCCTTCTTTAGGAAAGTATGCACAGAAGTAACATCCCATTCCTTCCCCCAGCACCCCTACATACTCCTTGGGGACACTACAATTCTATCCCTTCTTTAGGAAAGTACGCACAGAAGTAACATCCCATCCCTTCCCGTGCTTTTTTTTTTTTAATAATGAATTTGAAGCATTTCTCGACTTATGTGTGTCATCATCTTTGTACTCGAGCAGACGCTTCGCGTCTGATCTATTGCACAGGGGCCATGGTAATTTTCTCTGCATCTTGTTCCAATTTTGATGGATGTCCCCTGGACTTGACCTGGAGGACATTCACCCTGTTTTTCTTATCTTTCTGCTCCTCCTGCTTTTTCCTTCCCTGCCCGTCTTCCCTCCCTCCCTTTTCTGTTTTTCTTCCTCTTGCCTCCAGTTTCTTTCAGAAAAGGAGTTATCACCTAACCTTTTTTTTTTTTTTTTGGTATGCAACTGACTTTGTTGACTTCACCCCACACGTACTCCGTTCTTCCTTTTCTGTTTTTCTTCCCCCTCCTCTCTCTCTCTCTCTCTTTTTTTTTTTTCCCTTTCAGAAAAAGGAGTTATCCCCTAACAGTTTTGTATATACAATAATCCAACTGGAAAAATTGCTGACTCAATTTTGAGAACCAGTTGACTTTCGGCGATCATGTTTTTCACCTGTTTTTTTTTTTGTGTAAAAACAAGTAGTACCCACTGTGGCGAAGCGCCGTGGTCCAGAGGCCGGAACGAGATATAACTCGAAGAAGGGCCATGTCACTTCACTGATGGTATACTGAACTCAGAGTTAAACCACGCAAAAAAATAAAAATGTTCAGCCAAACCCGAACGCACCAGCCAGGGTCGGGCATTCTGGCCCACGCAGGCATTGCGGTCAGGCTGCTGAATTGCTGCACGAGAGGCTGCATGCTGCGTTAGCGGCCAGGGCGCATGCGGGCGCTTGTGAGGTGAGATGGGCGCTGCTGGGGAGCGGAGCGCAGGCAGCCATAGCCGGGCTGCGGGGCGCTAGGGGGGGGGAGGGGCGATCGGTGGTCGTCAGGAAGGAGGCGAGTGTGGGTGTGCATGAGGGAGGTCGGCTATGGTGTTGACGTCATGCACATTGGTCTTCAAAGTCGAAGTCAGCCTGTTGCGTGAATGCTGATGTAGGTAGGATAGTCATGTAGTGTAGGCTGGGCGCTGGGTGCCAGACAAAGAGGAAAGACATTGGATACTGTGTTGGTGTGGTGGCCTGAGGGCTTGAACATTGGCTCATGACTTCATTGTATATTGCTCTTATTTGGATGTGATGGAAACTCGGTGCATTTGTGCTCTCTGCTGCTTGGTACACGACTACTTGGACATCTGTGTGATTTCTCAACTTGGTTTTCTCTATATCGTTCTCACTCGTATTCCTTGCACATGTCTCTGCACTGGTGGTATACTGAACCCAGAGAGAATTAAACCACAGAAAGGGGGAAAAAAAATGTTCAGCCCAAACCGAACGCACCAGCCAGTCCTGACAGTGAAGATTAGCATGGCCCCTGTGCAAGGAATCCAAGGATGACACACATAAATCAAGAAATGGTCCATTTTTTCACTTACTTATGGACGGAACTGTGGCCAGATGCATAATGATGATTCCGCCGGTAAATGCGGTTGGGCACATTCAAGGTCGCGGTAGTGTAAGCAGGCCCTCAGTTGGTACACCCCTCTGGATCGTTCGAGAACTCCACTGGAAGCAGAGGAGTGAGCAAAATACCACGGAAAAAAAAAAAAAAAAAAAAAAAAAAAAAAACACGAATCAGTTACGCGCCTAGCTCAGTTGGTACAACACCCTTGCACTGCTGAAATACAGACTCAAGTTCGAATCCAGTCCAGATACCTTCAGATGGAAAGAATAAGATCATTCTGAATTGTCCGGGGCCTGTCAGCTCAATGATGGTATCTGAAGGCCAGCGCCCTGCTGATAACATTTCCAGGCTGGCAGAGAGAAAGAATATAAAAAATATGAAATTGGCGGTGTATCTTTCCATGTTAAAAGAGAATTGGTTTCTCGCGTGGACATTTGGCCAGCAGCGGGGCGTGGGCCTTTGCTCCATGACCCTCCACATGCACAAAAGACAAAAAAAAGTTTGGTGACGTATCTTTCCATGTTCTAGAGGAGGATTTGTTCTCATATTAAGGGCCTCGCCACATCAATGTCGAAACATCACGAAATTCGACGTATGTCAGGAGATTTTCCACATAATTCCCTCTTTCGACAGAAAACCCCTCTTCGCCACACCGCATGTCCCAGTGAAGAACTCACGAGTCGTATGCACAAAAGAGACAAACTGGGGTGAAGATAGGACAAGCGTTGGTGCCTTCTCTTTTTCGACATTCGGGCAAGGATTCGACATCGTCCTTCGGGACATCCGTTAAAATTGGAACGATACAGAGAAGATTAGCATGGCCCCTGCGCTTTCAAGGATGACACGCATAAATCGAGAAATGATCGAAATAAAAAAAAAAAAAAAAAAAAAAATAATAATAAAAAAAATCGACATCCCATCGGAGGACTGTTGAAAATGTCCAAGTTGCAGGCCTGAAGTGGAAACGAGCCCGTCTCGAGAGAGAGGAGGTGTCGAAACCCTTTCCCTGACAGCTCCTGAATTTTTTTTTGCATCTCGTTTTTTTTTTTGTTTTGTTTTGTTTTTTGAGGAAATGCAAATTCATTACCAAAGGACAGTAGGGGCCCGGGAATACACCCCGACAAATCAACCCGGTACAGAACATGCTCGTCGGGCCTTTACCCAGCTGTAGGCTCCTGGAAACCGGGTCCAGTGTCCCTTTTCCATAAATCCTCCAAAAAAATAAAAAACGTTATAACAGGCCTCCAAGGCTGATCCCTCTTAAACCACCAGTCCAATCCCCCCCTGTACTGTTCATTTTTTTTGTCGACAAGTACCAGACCAAAATCTACAGTGATCAGGCATGGAGGAGGCTTGGTGGGGGTGGGGCTGGCGGGCCCACAATTGAAAGAGAGTGCCACTGTGTGACAGCCACACGGCACTTGGTAGGCACACTCTGCAAGCTTTTGGATGCCCCGTCATTTCCGTCCTCCCAGCTCAGCAGGGCGGACTGCTGTTCCTCAGTTGGTACACCCAAGAAATGTTGAAATGCAGACCGGAGTTCAAGTCCATCTGCCATAAGATTATTTCTCGACTTTCTCGGCGTTTTGGCTAGGGAAGTGCAATCATGACACCTCAAGGCCGTGGCCCTTCCTATAGAAAAAGGAAGGGAAAAAAAATCCAAACAGAACGGACAGGCAGGCTGCAATGATGAGGGCTGCCTGCCTGCCTGCCTTTCCTTTTTGTCACACATGTTGCTGGTACCGGTACCATGTCCCGCGTGGTTGAATCTGCGGTCACTGTAGATGTCAGGCTCGGGCAAATGCACTTTTTGGTTCGGCAATTTAGCCTCCGATGGACTGGTGGTTTAAGATATTCTCTACCTCTGCACAAAATACCACTAAATCCTTTAAATCAAGCAAGCTGCTTTTTCAAATAAACCATACAAAACCGAGCAGCTTCTTGTTTTCTCAGCCCATCTCTGCTCGTGACAAGGAGGCTTCAACCAAGAAGCAAACGCCAGCTTGTTATCTGATGACACTGTAGCCCAATGGCTTCCTTGTGTCCACGTTTGCTTAAACCACAACAGATCTTTCTTTTTGCTTCTTGAGCAGCCCGGCCAATCAGCTTGTATAGATAAACGGATATTCCTCTTGATTTGCTGTTGCTGCTCCTGTAAAACAATCCTCGTTTGTCTGAAACACCTGAGCATTTCGAGCTCTCCAGATTTCCTGGAGGATCACCCCTCTACAGGTGAGTGCTACGTAACCCCATCCCTTATTATACTTGGCTCCCTGGATTGGTAGTAGTAAACCAAACAAAGTCCAATCATCTGTCCATTGCCAGGAGAGGGGTCCGCTGTTTCTTCCCACAACTTCAACCACCTGCTCCAAATTTCGTCCGCCAATGGGCAGTAGTACAGCCATAGGTGGGGATTGGACTCCCACCCCCAATTACATCGAATACAGATCTCACTGATCTCCATTCCCCTGTCGTGTAACCAGACTGAGGTGGCTATCACCATTAAAGACTATAGCCAGATCATAGCCACCATTAAAGACTATAGCCAGATCAAGCTGGCATCTTTCTGGGATGGAAGAAGCATCAATACTGACCGCAACGCCCTCCAGTCCATGCATCCAGCGATTCCATTTTTAACTCTTTCCAGCCTCTTCGAAGCCACCACCCTTGGCTTCTCCGAGACCTTGGCCCGCAGTGCGTTAGCTCC